GGTATTTAATGTTTGCCCATACCCCCATGTACACAAAGACAGCGAATTGTGGACGTTACTTTATGAACTTAAACAGTGAATTTCCAGATACTTTAGAATATTAAATTAACCTAATGATGTCATACACAAGGCTGCAATCAAAGACTGCAGACGACATTTGTACATTGGACTTCGAGGGTTCCATTTAATCACTGTCTTTCTTTTTCGCATCTCTGATAGTTTCAACACTACTTACACACTCAAACACACATGCACACTCACAGACCTACACGCAAACACTCTTATATACACACACACACACACACACACACACATATATATATATATATATATATATATATATATATATATATATATATATATATATAGATATAGATATACATATATACACTCATTTATTACAGCAAAGGTCTGAGGTAGCTTTGGAGCCTAATGAAAGTACTGATTGTGTTGTTGAACGCCCTAGACAGTTTAGCTGTGTCTTTCTCCTCGTGGCTTTCTGGTTTGATTTAGCTAATGCTGTCAGGTGCAACATCTGTTCAGAAATGTCTTCACTATTGCTATGATGTCAGCAGTCGGGAATTGTTTCCGTCCATTTCGGCTATGGTGTGTGTCGTGTACTGTTGGTTTCTTACCCCCCCCCCCCCCCCCCACCTTTTCCACCCCAAATCTGTTTTGATTTTGATTTTGTTTTGTTTTTGCAGGAGAAATGTATGCAGAAGGGCCTTACCAATCTCTTTCTTGTGTTATAAATAACATCACTCTCCACTCTAACGTTACGCAATGCATTCAAAGTTAGAAAAGATTATGCGTCGATGGTGGGGAAAAGGTTGTTATGTGTTGTCTGTTTATGGTCTCTCTGCCTGAATATTCCTATGTTTATTGTGTGCCTGTGTTATACTGGTTGAAAAAAAATAAAATAAACGCATAGTTTCTGAAAGAGCAAACATACTCACAATTTTGACATTCTGCATCTTCGTAAAGCAGTAAGTGAAATTACTCAAATTTTACACCAGAATACTTTAGGCTTCCACCAATCAATTAACACCTTGTTTGGCATCTGGGTCACGATAGTTTTTAAGCGTAGGCCTTTCCCGTTAGTATGGTGTGTGGCCTTTCCCGTTAGTATGTTGTGTGGCCTTTCCCGTTAGTATGTTGTGTGGCCTTTCCCGTTAGTATGTTGTGTGGCCTTTCCCGTTAGTATGTTGTGTGGCCTTTCCCGTTAGTATGTTGTGTGGCCTTTCCCGTTAGTATGGTGTGTGGCCTCCTATTGCGTGCAACAGTGACTGGCATTTCCTGGGCATGGATGCGATCAGATGTCTGATGTTGGCATGTGGAATGGCTGCCCACTCTTCCTGGAGTGCCTGGAACTGATCATGACCCTTGGCTGGAGCAACGTGTCGGCGTCATACGCGCCTTCGTAGCTCATCCCACAGGTGCTCAATCGGACTCATGTCTGCAGATATGGATGGCCAGGGAAAAGGTTTGAATGTTTTAGGCAGGCGAGAACTGCGTGGTCAGCTGTGCAGAATGGGGTCTGTCGTTGTCCTGTTGAAAAAGACATCTGTTTGCATCGTAAAATGGAAGGACATATGGTCGAAGAATTTAATGGACTTATCCTTGCGCATTCAAGCTTCCTTCAATGTGCACCAAGTGACTCCTTCCATTGTAACTAATCATTCCCCATACACTAACACCACCACCACCGTGCAGCGGAGCTTCATCAACACAATTTTGGGCTAAAACTTCATTTCCTCTACGGTAGACCCTACGCCGTCTATCGTGACGCTGCAACAAGAATAGAGATTCGTCACTGAACCAGAAACGTCTCCAATGATTGTCACTTGCCCAGGGGCCATGTTGTTTGGCCGAAATAAGTCGACAGGACCTCTGTGTGGTCGTCGAGCCGAAAGTCCAACATCATGCAGTCTGTTTTGAACAGTTTGATTACTCACATGACGCCCTGGAGGCAATGCCTGTGCCGTTGAGGAAGCTGTTGTAAACCTGTCTCTAAGCTTACGAAGCCGAATAAAGCGATTCTCCGCTGCTGTTGTCACTCTGGGTCGTCCAATGCGATATCGGTCTTTAACTAAACCAATGGCTTGGAACCGGTGCCAAAGTCAAGTCGACTAATGGTACTCTGATGCACGTATAGATGCCTGGCAACCTGACTTTGACTTGCTTCTGCCTGAAATCGACTAATAGAAATATTCCTTTAATTTATCAATAGAGGCGCCATTCCGGACTGCTTGAAAATGAATTGATCGTTTTGGTGTAGCGTTATCATTTTATAGGGTTTAAATTGCGTAGGCAGTGAATAGTATTCACCCCAAATTTTTTTTTTGTTGCTTTTTCATGCGCTCTTCGTGAGCTGTGCTCATAAATATGGTCTTAAACACAACTGACAACTGCGTTGTAACGATTACAAAAACCCACGCAATTCACGTCCACATGCTCACTGGACACGGTAACCAAAATTTGAGTCTGCTTTTCACACCCGAGTAAGATATTTTATTACCAAACTAATAAAAACTCGCTATCAGATAACTATGCATTTTTTTTTTTTTTTTTTTGAACAGTATATAGTATATACGAATTCTATAATGTAAAGAAACGGGGCAATCTTACTCTTATGGTTGGCAGGTGCAATTTAGTGCGGTTTCAAGTGTAGTATGTTGCAGAGCAGAGTAAATCCTTTTTATCTTTGTTTGCTAGAGATCGTTTCTAAATATAAATATGTCAGGTCTATGAAGGCTAAATCCTGTCGTCTGAGCAAAATAAAACTGATTATTGTATGATATGGATTACTTGTTCGTGGGGTGCAGTGATAACTGGTTTGTTTACTCGTGTTTCCATTGTGTTCGCATGATGTATACTGATCTCTCTGAGAGCTGTGTCAGATTGATTGTCCAATAGATCCAACTGGCTACAGCCAGCACCCATCCACTAACCATCAGCGATCAGCTACAAGATACCAACCACTAGCTGCCAACTTCCATTGCCCAAATGCATGTTTTTACCTTGTTCCAGTCAACCGACCAGCCTTCTGTGAAGTGACATTTCATGTCATGCATGTTAGAGGAAAGCTGATGAAAACTCACCATCATCATCATCAAGTGTGTTTACCCACAGCCAACGTCTGACCAGTTTGTGCTGCACACGTTGTACAGAATTGTAGCATGTATAGGTAAAGGGGACCTATGCCTATAATGTCCTCAGACACTGGCTATTTGTATTGTGAGCTGTTTATACACATATGGTAATGCAGACTAGTGACCACCGTGCTTAGTGACCCTGTGGAACATGTTAATTAAGGCCAGAAGTCACGTTCAGGTCTGTTGGTGGTAAATTTCTGCATAAGAACTGCCAAGAGGAGCTGATCAACTAATGTCTTTATCTACTGATAAGTAAACAGTGTAAAACTGATGGTACTGCCACCTGGACACTTAGTCGCATTAATACAGTTACCCTGAAACATAATCAGGAAAATGATGCGCACAACGGTGACTATTGGCAGATCAGAAGTCATTCTTGACCGATGTCGATCTTTGGTATGTTCTGCTCCTCTTTTTGTCATTCCTTTATATTTTTTTCTTTAAATTCTGTACCATTGTTTGCAATTATTATATCATGCATTTTTCTTCAGTATTTACCTTTGGTCTGGTATTTCCCTGTTCTCTTTAAGTAAGTTCCCTGTGCATTGCTCTTAGATCAGATTTCTGTTGATACTGTGTTGTTTGACTGGTATGGTGATTGTATCTAGTTTGAGCTCTATTATGTGGTAAGGAAATCTGGCCAAGTCGTGCCCAGGAATATCTTTAGTAATTCTGTGGAGCCAATTACTTGGGTTGCTTCATCCCTGAAGTGGTATTGGATTGTTTTTTAGCTGCGGAGACCACCTGGACCAATACGAGCCACCATCTCAACAATAGATTATTTCAGAGTGTCTTGTATTATTATGTGAGTCATTAATAAAGACACCTGCCACCATCTTGTTGTGACAGTATACATGTGCATATTATCTTTTAGTTTGCGCCTGTATGTCCAAGGGTAACGCGTTAAGGTGGAGTCTCCGTGGCTCAGTGGCCTAGCCGATTGCTAATCGCTTTTGAAGTTGCCTGTTCGTTTCACGGCTAGAGGTGTGTAAACGATTCCAGTTGCTGGTATCGTCGCTGGATATGGTCTTTTTTGTGTGCTACACTCTCGGTTTCCGTCTAGCCGATCAATAGAGAGACAAAGAGGCATTTTCTAAGCCCAGCAAACTGCATTCGATCTTCTTGACTGTAAATCCTACCGTAACTACTGATTGGTGATACAGTGTTTTTATTTATTTCCTGATAATGTTATGTCTATTGATGTTACAAAACAAAGTCATGGGAAGAAACCGTTATCAATGGTAAGGAAGCAAGGGCAATAAAAGTGACAGTACTAATGTTATTACTTGTTGTGAAAAGTCGTCGTCGTAATTTGTGTCAGCAATCACCGCGTACCCGAAATGTAGTCGGCTATTGGTGGCATCATATACCCAATAGACACAAGACATTTATAATTGTTCGTTACAGTACATTATACAGCTACAATCACAATTATGGTACTTCTCCAAACAATAGAATTGTAACGTTTATTTTGAATGAATTTCTCAAGACAACACAATTACAGACAACATATTTATAATGGCAGCATGTCATATGTTTCTTTCAATCATCCATAACCAATGGCATAAATATATTCATCATTCTCCTGACACGATACGTTTCTCTCATGGTGTACTGTGTAGTGGATAGTTCTTTCATTCCAGTTACACTATCACTAAATATATCCTGCAAGTATGTCACTGTATTATTAATTTATTCACAAAATTCGAATTATGTTATCGTCACTCCGTTTCTTTCTGTGCACGTAATGCCAACACGATTTCGCTCTCAATAAAAAGATCGCAGTTCAGTCACAATGGCATCCGTTACGATTGCATGTGTCTACTACAGACACGGAAGCTCCTATCAACTACAGACATTGGAGCTCATGTCTGCTACACACAGTGACGTGACACCACATGCGTCTGCTGCAGCTGTTACAGCTAATGTCCTCTACAGACAGTGACATTGCCTGTGTCCACTACAGACATTACAGCTTGTGTCTGCTACAGACAGTGACATTGCCAGTGTCCACTACAGACATTACAGCTTGTGTCTGCTACAGACAGTAACTCTGCCTGTCCACTACAGACTTTACAGTTTATGTCTGCTACAGATAGTGACTCTGCCTGTCCACTACAGACATAACAGCTTATGTTTGCTGCTACAGACAGGGACTCTGCCTGTGTCCGCTACAGACATTACAGCTAATGTCTGCTACAGACAGTGACAGTGCCTGTGTCCACTACAGACATTACAGCTTATGTCTGCTACAGACAGTGCAGCTGCTCTCCACTACAGAGACAGCTAATATATGTGTGTTGACAGTATCTGATATTGTTCTTGTGGATACTCTGAAAGAACAATGATACGTAACTCCGTAATAGTACCAAACTCTCATAATAATATATCAATAGTGCACTCTATTAGCAAGCAACAGATAGACATATTCAGCAGTAGAGACAGAAGTATCTATGAGCTTGTCAATTACTTTTTGATTTCTGGCACAGTTGCTTTTTTTGGTTTAATAACAAATATAATTAACATTATTGTCTTCTACAAACAAGGCTTTAGCAGTACGGTCAACATCAGTTTCTTTGCACTTGCAATTTCAGATGTGTGCAATCTTTTATTTGTTATCTGGTTGGCATTTGGCCTAAATCCTCTCATTGATTACTCGACTATTGGCATATCGGCTGTGGAGATAGTTTATCTTACTGCAGGATTGCCTCATATTTGCTTTGCCAGGACTACTGGATGGATTACAGTCTACATCACAGCAGAACGATGTCTGTGTATAGCTCTGCCATTGAAGATCAAACAGATTGTCACTCCAGCAAGAACCACACTGATCATATTTCTCATTTACCTGGTGATGATAATTGTCTTTATTCCTGAGTACGCCACATCGTATCATTGCTGGAAGTTATACGATGTTAAAAATGTAAGTCTGCTTGGCTTGTGTTTCACTAGCAAGCATGATGAGGTAAACAGCATATTTTGCTTCTTAAATTCAACTCTGGCATCAGCGTCCTTTGTTGTTGTTGTCGTCTTTACAATCATTCTGGTTGTTCAGCTTAAACATAAATCGAAATGGCGAATGACAGCTAACACTAACCAGGAGCGAAGTCAAGATATCTCTAGCCGGGAAATAAAAGCCATGACAATGGTCGCCATGATATCCACAGTTCTGATACTGTGCTACATGCCGGAGGTGATTGTTTTCATGCTGGCATTCTCAGTGCCAGAGTTTAATGTATTCGGCGCCTACGCCAACAGTACTTACGTAATGTGGTCGTTCGTCTTTGTTTTTGAAACTCTCAACTCCAGCATCAACATCTTCTTTTACTACAAAATGAGCACGAAATTCAGGGAGACATTAAAAATGCTCCTTCCTTTTTGCTACAGTGACTCAACATACTGGAAAGCTAACAAAGCAAGGAAGAAATAATGCACGAGTTTTCAGTATTTTAATTAAATTTAATTAAGCAGTTGCATGAAGTTAAATCATTTTGACAGTAATAAATAAGACAATTTGCTCATCAACAACATTTTGCAAATCCCTATTTTGTGAGGGTGAGGTTTTTTTGTGGTTGTTGTTGTTGTTACCATTTTGGTTATTGTTTCTCAACCAGGATTACATCTAAACAGTTACATAGGACGGACAACCAGTCCAACCTTATATAAATATAGCACATATTTTTATCACCGCCACAAAATATTAATGAATAGGTAATGCAGTGTAGTTCGCTACAAATGTCAATTATTTACGTTATCGTTTTGAGCATAATGTAATTACTTTTTACGGCGATGACTAGCATCTGTCATGATATTCATATGTATATTGCAAAGCCCCATACAGGACACATACATGCACGACGAGTATGTATAGGTTTATGTGTGTTGATGTGTGTGTGGGTGGAAAAGGAATGGTTACAACTTAAAGGAAGCAAAAATATATTGGTAGAAAAATGTCGTGCACACTAATTGTCTACCAATGAAATGCAAAAACATTTTCATACTTGTTGGCACCTATGCTGTTACAAGTACTGGCCTCACAATGGAAACCATAGCTGTAACAAGGGCATAAGCATGGCTTTTTACTCAAAAGTTCACAAACGAATGCATTCTTAGTGACTCAAAAAATATAAGCTAGATTTATCAAGCAAAAATGGATTGCAACATCAAGGAGCCTGGAGCTGCAAGAAATGAATATTCACTAAAGGGACAAAACGTTTAATTAACCAACACAGAACAGGCGTCATCAGTCGTTTTACACTCGTGGAGCATTTGAGAAGGAGATCGGAGCACCTATGGATCTGTCCAGAGTGCTGTGATGATAATCCTTTCTAATCACTAATCGCAACTTTTTAAAAAATTTTGTCGTCACGTGATATATTCCGCCATATTTAAATCGAATTACGGTAGCTATTTATTATTGATAATAATGAAAAGGACGCTTTCATTAGTTTGCCGCAATAAGAAATGTTTTAAGGCTGAAGAGAATCACTTTGTGCTACTGTGGTAACTTTATAAGTAATTGTAACTGGTATACATATCTGTATTTTGTATGTATCTGACTTAAGTTTTCAAAATAGCGGATAGCAGCGGTGTTTATTTTCGCTGGCTGTCAATTCTTTCTGATTATTCTGTTTTGTATTTATGGACTGTAATGTTGTGCGAATTTCCAACGCAGGATACTATGTGTTTTTCGTGGGAGCAGCGTGTTGTGTGGTTGTGCTGTGTCGGGGCGGGATAAGGACTGATAGTTTCTGGCAGCCTCGACCACGCTGCCCTGGCAATATTTTGATCGCGGCGGTCCACTCGGGAAGATAGAATCTCGCCAGCAGGGGACTACAACTGTCTAGAGAGCAAACTCGATAAAAGCTGTCCCCAGAATGTGTCAAGCATTATTTTTTGGTGGGGAGGAATCGACACCAACGGTTAAGTCAATGGAGAGGCCAGTTGCAACTTGTATGCGTCTCTTCGTGTCTGAACAAATTTAGTTTCAGCATGTTTGCACAGGTTATTTATTTTTATTAAAAAGAAATGCATTCAAAACATTGCTTCCGTAATGTACTCAAAGACCGCACCTATCTTACATGTAGATACATTTCACTAGCGACGGTCAGCCGATGGATCATGCTGATATTATTAATGCCCTCAGAGAAATGGGAAGGATAGGGGACTTTGGAGGCAGGGAATCCACATCACTGCCATGATGGCAGACTTGGTAATTAAGATCGGCATAGCATAAAAACGAGACGTACACCAGACACACCAGAAGACTGTTTAATCAACACAGAACTGGCAATATTAGCCATCGGATGTTGGGATTCATACAGAGGGAAGGATCTAAGTACCTATGGTTATGTCTGAAGTGCAATGGTGATAACGCAACTAACTAACTAGCTTACTAACTAACTAAGATACATTTTACTGCTGGGCGATTACTGTTTTGATTTTTTTTTTTCCTCTGCATTTAGGTGTAAAAACATGGGCAACCGTTGTCTATACAGTAATTTTGTTATATGTTTCAAAGCGTGGCCCGTGGTGAGATATTTGTCATTCAAAGTGAATACTGCCATAAGAAAACAGGATTTATACACGTCAGCATCACACGTGATGTTGTAGTTCGAATCCGCTTAGAATCGAATTTTTCCCAGCTCGGAGGTGGCCAAAGACAGTGGCTCAGAGGTGGATCCAAACATTGGCTCGGAGGTGGATCCAGACATTGGCTCAGAGGTGGACCTAGACATTGGCTCAGAGGTAGACCCAGACATTGGCTTGGAGGTGGACCTAGATATTGGCTCGAAGGTGGACCCAGATATTAGCTCAGAGGTGGACCCAGACATTGGCTCGGAGGTGGACCAAGATATTGGCTCGGAGGTGGACCCAGACATTGGCTCAGATGTGGATCCAAACATTGGCTCAGAGGTGGATCCAAACATTGGCTCGGAGGTGGACCCAGACATTGGCTCGGAGGTGGACCCAGACATTGGCTCAGAGGTGGACCCAGATATTGGCTCGGAGGTGGATCCAGATATTGGCTCGGAGGTGGACCTAGATATTGGCTCGGAGGTGAACCCAGACATTGGCTCAGAGGCGGACCCAGATATTGACTCGGAGGTGGACCTAGATATTGGCTCGGAGGTGAACCCAGATATTGGCTCGGAGGTGGACCCAGATATCGGCTCGGAGGTGGACCCAGATATTGGCTCTGAGGTGGACCCAGACATTGGCTCGGAGGTGGACCCAGATATTGGCTCGGAGGTGGACCCAGATATTGGCTCGGAGGTGGACCCAGATATTCGCTAGGAGATGGATCCAGACATTGGCTCGGGGGTGGACCCAGACATTGGCACGGATTTGGACCCAGATATTGGCTTGGGGGTGGATCCAGACATTGGCTCGGGGATGGATCCAGACATTGGCTCAAAGGTGGATCCAGACATTGGCTCAAAGGTGGACCTAGACATTGGCACAAAGGTGGATCCAGATATTGGCTCGGAGGTGGACCTAGATATTGGCTCGGAGGTGGACCCAGACATTGGCTCAGAGGTGGACCCAGATATTGGCTCAGAGGTGGACCCAGATATTGGCTCGGAGGTGGACCCAGATATTCGCTAGGAGATGGATCCAGACATTGGCTCGGGGGTGGACCCAGACATTGGCACGGAGGTGGAACCAGATATTGGCTCGGGGGTGGATCCAGACATTGGCTCGGGGATGGATCCAGACATTGGCTCAAAGGTGGATCCAGACATTGGCTCAAAGGTGGACCTAGACATTGGCTCGGAGGTGGATCCAGACATTGGCTCGGGGATGGTTCCAGACATTGGCTCGGGGATGGACCCAGACATTGGCTCGTAGGTGGACCAAGACACACAAACACTTGAAATCACTTTTGAAACAGCGTGAATAGATGCTGTTACGGTGTTGTTATCACAAAAAGTGTAGCCTGTCTTCAGACATGTCAGATGTACGACGGCTATATCTACTTGAGCCAGCAAGTAATCAGAGTGTTAGACGACACTGACAGCGACAATGAGTACAATAAAAGTCGACACAAATAGTTTCAATTGTCGTAAAAGCTTCGATAGCATGTGCTCATTGAGAAAGACAAAGTGTCCAGTTTCCTGAAAGACTTTAAAAAAGTACAATTATTGCTACGTCCAAGTGGTTCGGTTAGTTGCGTATCCTTTACAGGACGTGGCAGAACCAACCCCAGCAGCCCTTGGCTGTTGTGTGGTTTCTCTTGGTGAATTTACGTCCAGTAGTTTGCCATTGCTCCTGGACGGTCGGCCCCATGATACCACTGGCGAAACCAATACAAGGCGCATGGCCATCAGCTGGGATCGAACCCCGGCACCCCAGCATTACGAAGCATTCGCATCGACTTCGTCACAGAGCCGACTCACGTCCAAGAGAATGACTAATTTACGACGGCTATGTCAATTTAAGCAGTTAAGTAATCCAAGTTGTGGACAACTTTGACAAAGAGACTGGGGGAAACACAACAGTCGAACAAGTTAGTGTCAATAGTTGACGTGGGTTGTACAAGCCTTGACATTAAATATTGGCGAACAACTTTGGACAAAAAAGATGGAATGTGAATGAAAACGTGGGAGGTGGTGAAAGATATGTAGAGTGACAAGTGCCAAGTGTTAAACAAAAATTGTCTGGTGATTTGAAACTATCGTCCTGCTGAAAGGGATGGCAGATGTGGAGAGAGGGGGACGGGGAGGACGGGAAGGAGGGGGGGGGGGCGGGTTACATGCGTTCTAAGTAAATTGCAACTTTAGTATGGTCGTTTTCAAAATTGTCCTCTTGTTTTATGTAAAAACGGCCTACACAGTCCTATAAAAAAAAAAAAAAGTCTTTAATGTTTTAAATGTGTCCCTTTAGTTAGAAAAGAGAAAGGCATCGACTGGCTCAAGGTGTCACAAACGTAGTAAACGACCTACTAAGGAACTTTAATGAAAGATTCTAAAAGTACACTGAGCGACTTGGCGGCCCAAAAGAGAAAGACATCAAGTGGCTTGAAGTGCACCGATTATATTGACAGGTTACCAAGCAACTTCAGTGAGCGATTTGCTAATGTGACGAGAATGTTTACTGACGTTGTATCAAAACCAGCATGCTACATGGATTCTTTCAATTTAAGACCTGATTAGGCAACTGTATCATCATTGTTTTAGAATCCTTTTTCATAATGGAATTTAAAATCAGTACCCTTAAACACGTTTAGGTGTCTCAAATACAGACCACCAGGTAGTGTCACATATCACTCCTGTCGCGTGCCTAATGTAAGGATTTCTCCTTCAGAACCAGCAGCACTCAGAGATAATTTTGTTGAGTCGTTTGGCTCGTATTGGTCTAAGGGATTCCCCGTGGCCAATATACGATCAACTTATCTCTGGAGTAGGGCAACTCAAGTATTGGCACTACAAAATATATCAGTATATAAATACAATATTTCTAGGCACACTTGGCTGGACACCCCCACTACTTACTAAAGAAAAGCCCCCAGGTTATGATAGTTCATTATCATAACCATGTTAACACATATAATGAAGATACATAACACATACAACTGCTAAACACTTAAGAAGGTGACATAGAGAAACCTAAGTCAGCCATGAAAAATGAATGCATGATTTAGTATAATGGGAGTTCGGTACGCAAAAACACTACCTCGAATGTTCAATTCAAGTCAGCTATCAGTGAAAGAATTCAGCAATAATGTCTAGATTCTAAGGAAGATATGCAGACAGCACAGTCTGCGTACGCGACTATATGTCATCATTGGGACACAGGAAGCTGTGAGGATCATGCTGAAGCATTAAGACTACCTTCTTTATCTCTCTCTATGATGCCTCCCCAGCCCGGATGATTGACTTATTTGAATATGGGAATTCTGGCTCACCTGATCAAGTAGGCAGAGTACTTCACTTAAAAAGTTTAA